AATCTTATACTGAGTAGGCCTCGAATCTTAAAACAAAGTAGGCCTCAAATCTTATACTGAGTAGGCCTCGAATCTTAAAACAAAGTAGGCCTCAAATCTTAAACTGAGTAGGCCTCGNTAATGTCACAAACACATTAGGTAATGATCATTATCAATAATGTCACTAACACATTGCTTGTTTTACTAGCTGTGTATGTGTAAGAAGTAAAACTCAATCTTCACCTAGTGTAATCACAATGTACAGCCACAAATGTAAAACAAAGTAGGCCTCGAATCTTAAACTGAGTAGGCCTCGAATCTTATACTGAGTAGGCCTCATATCTTACACTGAGTAGGCCTCGAATCTTATACTGAGTAGGCCTCGAATCTTAAACTGAGTAGGCCTCGAATCTTAAAACAATGTAGGCCTCGAATCTTATACTGAGTAGGCCTCAAATCTTATACTGAGTAGGCCTCAAATTTTTTACTGAGTAGGCCTCAAATCTTAAACTGAGTAGGCCTTGAATCTTTAAACAAAGTAGGCCTCGAATCTTACACTGAGTAGGCCTCGAATCTTATACTGAGTAGGCCTCGAATCTTAAACTGAGTAGGCCGTGAATCTTATACTGAGTAGGCCTCAAATCTTATACTGAGTAGGCCTCAAATTTTTTACTGAGAAGGCCTCGAATCTTAAACTGAGTAGGCCTCGAATCTTTAAACAAAGTAGGCCTCGAATCTTATACTGAGTAGGCCTCGAATCTTATACTGAGTAGGCCTCGAACCTTATACTGAGTAGGCCTCGATTCTTAAAACAAAGTAGGCCTCGAATCTTACACTGAGTAGGCCTCGAATCTTTAAACAAAGTAGGCCTCGAATTTTATACTGAGTAGGCCTCGAACCTTATACTGAGTAGGCCTCGATTCTTAAAACAAAGTAGGCCTCGAATCTTATACTGAGTAGGCCTCGATTCTTAAAACAAAGTAGGCCTCAAATCTTATACTGAGTAGGCCTCGAATCTTATACTGAGTAGGCCTCGAATCTTATACTGAGTAGGCCTCAAATCTTATACTGAGTAGGCCTTGAATCTTAAACTGAGTAGGCCATGAATCTTAAAACAAAGTAGACCTCGAATCTTAAAACTGAGTAGGCCGTGAATCTTAAACTGAGTAGGCCTCGAATCTTAAACTGAGTAGGCCTCAAATCTTAAAACTGAGTAGGCCATGAATCTTAAACTGAGTAGGCTTCAAATCGTAAAACTGAGTAGGCTGTGAATCTTAAATTGAGTAGGCCTCAAATCTTAAAACTGAGTTAAAGGCCTGGAATCTAAAAACTGAGTAGGCTGCAAATCTAAAAACTGAGTAGGCTGCAAATCTAAAAACTGAGAAGGACTAGTACTCGAATGTAGACTTCAAATCTAAAATCTGAGTAGACCATGAATCTTAAAACTGAGTAGGCCATGAATCTAAAAATTGATTAAGGTAATCCCGAAATTAATGAATATTTTAATCTTTAATGTCTATATGTATATTAGTATATCATGTCTCAGTATGACTACAAGAGTTGTGAATTGTAGACGGACCATGACCCTCGGAACCCTGCCTACATTGCCACCCAGGGACCCCTGCCCCATACGATTGCCGACTTCTGGCAGGTAAGACGTTTGCTCCTGAAGGTCACCTTGAACACTTTCTAAAGGACAGTTATTGTAGTGGCAGTATTTGCTGTTACAAAATTTATTTCATTTTAAGCAACAAACTCCAATGGTAGATCAAGGACAGAGAATTCTGATNATACTGAGTAGGCCTCGAATCTTATACAGAGTAGGCCTCAAATCTTGAACTGAGTAGGCCTTGAATCTTAAAACAAAGTAGGCCTTNTAGGCTGCAAATCTAAAAACTGAGAAGGACTAGTACTCGAATGTAGACTTCAAATCTAAAATCTGAGTAGACCATGAATCTTAAAACTGAGTAGGCCATGAATCTAAAAATTGATTAAGGTAATCCCGAAATTAATGAATATTTTAATCTTTAATGTCTATATGTATATTAGTATATCATGTCTCAGTATGACTACAAGAGTTGTGAATTGTAGACGGACCATGACCCTCGGAACCCTGCCTACATTGCCACCCAGGGACCCCTGCCCCATACGATTGCCGACTTCTGGCAGGTAAGACGTTTGCTCCTGAAGGTCACCTTGAACACTTTCTAAAGGACAGTTATTGTAGTGGCAGTATTTGCTGTTACAAAATTTATTTCATTTTAAGCAACAAACTCCAATGGTAGATCAAGGACAGAGAATTCTGATTTCCAATGGTAGATCAAGGACAGAGAATTCTAACTTCCAATGGTAGATCAAGGACAGAGAATTCTAACTTCCAATGGTAGATCAAGAGACAGAGAATTATAATTTCCAATGGTAGATCAAGGACAGAGAATTATAATTTCCAATGTGATTATGGATATATATGAAATGCTCTTTACTAAAATTCTCTGTCTTGATGAATTTGTTACCCTGATTTATAGCAGAGGGCAAACGAGGAAAGTTAAATAGCATTGAACATTTCCTGGTATATCAACTTGTATCTTTTTTTTTGTTTTCACTAATGTGATGTTTTAATGAATTTTTTGTGTGTGTTATAGATGGTCTGGGAACAAGGAAGTGTGGTCATTGTCATGTTGTCAAAGATGACAGAAAACGGAGAGTCGATGTGTCATCGGTACTGGCCAGAGGAAGGCAGTGACCTCTACCACATATATGAGGTACGACCATTGGAATGTCTTAATGCTTTAAACAAATGTCTCTCTAAAGTCATTAAACGCCTTTATTCATACAAAGAACATGTAACTTTTAGAAACTTCAGCTTATTTTATGTGTTACTATTACCTCTTTGCAACATGGCTTACCTCTACAGCATGTAACATAAAATTGTGCAGAAAAATAGTTTGACCTTTTTTGGTTGATCAAAAATAGACAGCAGTATTGAAATAACCATCCTTCCATCAACAGAAAGCTGAAGGTGAAGCTGCCTTGGGTCTGATGACAGGTGTTAAAGACTTGTGATACTTATAGCAAAATACCCACTACAAATTATATAAACGTGTCATTGATTGACCATTGGACATCTGTTTGATTGACCAGTAGACACCTGTTTGATTGACCAGTGGAGCTTGGTTGAGAAGTAAATATCAATGAGACAACCTTCACAACTGAAGGGTACTTCTTCTGGTCACTAAAATGTCCTTGATTTGACCTCTAATAGAACACAGTACTGTACTCCTGTGGTAACCTGACCCACACTGACCTTCATTAATGAAAGTATTGATTTGGGAAGCGGAAGTCCTAACTAAGTTAGTGGGTTATGCCATGTCTGAGCGAGATAGACAATCATTAACATGTATGTAGATTTGTCTGGGCCTGGGGTATTGGTGACCTAATAGTGTCAGGACGGATTGGCCAATGATGGCTAAATCAAGGTCTGATCAAATCACCGTTTTAATTGACAGATTAGTTTCATTTTGATGGAGATTACCAAATTGAGCATCAAGTTGTTCGTTTGGACAAGTTCTGTGCAGATCAAATTACATGAAATCACAGAGAAGAAGAACACTTTTATGCTATATGAAGTATTGTCCACTAGGCCTCGATTCCAGTTGTCTGTGTAACTCGACTTTTGTGTGGTGTGGAGTATTGTCCATTCACTGACCTGACTAGTTGTCTGTGTAACTCGACTTTTGTGTGGTATGAAGTATTGTCCACTCACTGACCTGACCAGTTGTCTGTGTAACTCGACTTTTGTGTGGTATGAAGTATTGTCCACTCACTGACCTGAACAGTTGTCTGTGTAACTCAACTTTTGTGTTAAGTGGAGTATTGTCCACTCACTGACCTGACCATTTGTCTGTGTAACTCGACTTTTGTGTGGTGTGGAGGATTGTCCACTCACTGACCTGACCAGTTGTCTGAGTAACTCGACTTTTGTGTGGTGTGGAGTATTGTCCATTCACTGGCCTGACTAGTTGTCTGTGTAACTCGACTTTTGTGTTACGTGGAGTATTGTCCAATCACTGACCTGACCAGTTGTCTGTGTAACTCGACTGTTGTGTGGTGTGGAGTATTGTCCACTCACTGACCTTACCAGTTGTCTGTGTAACTCGACTTTTGTGTTGTGTGGAGTATTGTCCCCTCACTGACCTGACCAGTTGTCTGTGTAACTAAACTTTTGTGTGGTGTGGTGTATTGTCCAATCACTGACCTGACCAGTTGTCTGTGTAACTCGTCTTTTGTGTGGTGTAGAGTATTGTCCTCTCACTGAACTGAACAGTTGTCTGTGTAACTCGACTTTTGTGTGGGGTGGAGTATTGTCCACTCACTGATCTGACTAGTTGTATGTGTAACTCGACTTTTGTGTGGTGTGGAGCATTGTCCACTCACTGACCTGACCAGTTGTATGTGTAACTCGACTTTTGTGTTATGTGGAGTTTTGTCCAATCAATGACCTGACCAGTTGTCTGTGTAACTCGACTTTTGTGTAGTGTGGAGTATTGTCCACTCACTGAACTGACCAGTTGTCTGTGTAAATCGACTTTTGTGTGGTGTGGAGTATTGTCCACTCACTGATCTGACCAGTTGTCTGTGTAACTCAACTTTTGTGTGGTGTGGAGGATTGTCCACTCACTGACCTGACCAGTTGTCTGTGTAACTCGACTTTTGTGTGGTGTGGAGCATTGTCCACTCACTGACCTGACCAGTTGTATGTGTAACTCGACTTTTGTGTTATGTGGAGTTTTGTCCAATCAATGACCTGACCAGTTGTCTGTGTAACTCGACTTTTGTGTAGTGTGGAGTATTGTCCACTCACTGAACTGACCAGTTGTCTGTGTAACTTGTCTTTTGTGTGGTGTGGAGTATTGTCCTCTCACTGAACTGACCAGTTGTCTGTGTAACTCAACTTTTGTGTTAAGTGGAGTATTGTCCACTCACTGACCTGACCATTTGTCTGTGTAACTCGACTTTTGTGTGGTGTGGAGCATTGTCCACTCACTGACCTGACCAGTTGTATGTGTAACTCGACTTTTGTGTGGTGTGGAGTGTAACTCGACTTTTGTGTGGTATGAAGTATTGTCCACTCACTGACCTGACCAGTTGTCTGTGTAACTAAACTTTTGTGTGGTGTGGTGTATTGTCCAATCACTGACCTGACCAGTTGTCTGTGTAACTCGACTGTTGTGTGGTGTGGAGTATTGTCCACTCACTGACCTTACCAGTTGTCTGTGTAACTCGACTTTTGTGTCGTGTGGAGTATTGTCCACTCACTGAACTGACCAGTTGTCTGTGTAAATCGACTTTTGTGTGGTGTGGAGTATTGTCCACTCCCTGAACTGACCAGTTGTCTGTGTAACTCGACTTTTGTGTGGTATGGAGTATTGTCCACTCACTGACCTGACCAGTTGTCTGTGTAAATCGACTTTTGTGTGGTGTGGAGTATTGTCCAATCACTGAACTGACCAGTTGTCTGTGTAACTCGACTTTTGTGTCGTGTGGAGTATTGTCCACTCACTGACCTGACTAGTTGTCTGTGTAACTCAACTTTTGTGTGGTGTGGAGTATTGTCCAATCACTGACCTGACCAGTTGTCTGTGTAACTCGACTTTTTTGTGGTGTGGAGTATTGTCCATTCACTGACCTGACTAGTTGCCTGTGTAACTCGACTTTTGTGTGGTATGAAGTATTGTCCACTCACTGACCTGAACAGTTGTCTGTGTAACTCAACTTTTGTGTTAAGTGGAGTATTGTCCACTCACTGACCTGACCATTTGTCTGTGTAACTCGACTTTTGTGTGGTGTGGAGGATTGTCCACTCACTGACCTGACCAGTTGTCTGTGTAAATCGACTGAGGTACAATGTGTAGCCGTTAATAAAGGTCGGCAAAAGGAAGGAAGCACAGGGTGGCACAAATAGGTGTAGAATGGTGTGGGTTTGGTTGCTAATTGCTAGTGTTATGGAGAAAAATAAAAGGATAGAGCAAAGACACAGTATTTTAGACAAGTGCGTTGTGTATTTAAAACAAAATGTTTGGAATGGATTAAGTTTGTAAAATTATGTCAAAATGAATTGAAATACAACTTTATCACACACCAGTAAACAGGAGTTGATTAACAGAATGAATTTTTGACTTTTAATCAACTAACCTCATATCTAATAAAGCAAAAATTTGAATTTGTAAAAAAAAAAGGAAGTTTTAAATGAAGAAATGTGTGTCCAAGCATATTGACACACTGCGATTAATATTTGCAGAGGCATTTCCAATGCAAACATTATTTCACACCAGGAATGCTTGGAGGACTCCGGACATGAACATTATCATTTTGACAGTATGCATTGTATTGTAATGAGCATTCTGTGTCCACAGGTACATCTGGTCTCTGAGCACATCTGGTGCGATGACTACCTTGTTCGAAGCTTCTACCTGAAGAACCTGCAAACTAACGAAACTCGTACTGTGACGATGTTCCACTACCTGACCTGGCCTGACCTTGGAGTGCCATCCTCCATCAAGTCCCTGTTGGACTTCAGAAGGTACGCTTATGCATCTTTTTTTCTGTAGCTGTCTGATACAAGAAATGCTTTCACTAGTATTTTTACTTCACTAGTCATATGGTTGTTCAGTTATTGATATAGGTTAGTGCTTTTGTTGAATACTGTAGAATCATTTATATTTGTGTGGTTAAAATTTCGTGGTTTTCATGTACTAGCCTCTTTCAAGGACCTTATATCTTCCCCTATATATATCATACCAAATTTATGTATTCGTGGGGATTTAATTTCGTGGGGTTTTGTTATCCTCAAAATAACCAAAATTTAATGTCCCACAAGAATTTATGATTTTACAGTAGATCGTTTCCACAGGAACCTCAGTGCAGTATTTAATGTAGTTTGGTTTGGAGTAATAATGGAAAACAAATATTATTTCTGTTTTGGTTAATAGTGTGGAAGGATTTGTTCATGCTATTTGAGCACTTTAGAGTTTATGTTCAGTTTCAATTTAATTTGACAGAATTGCTTTAGTGTGATGTGGAAGGGAAGGGGTTATTAACACAAGTTTCAAGATTCAGATTTTTTCTTGATTGTCATTGGAGTTTGGTCAGTACTTAATTTGTTAGCTTGAAGTAATAAAATCACCTTAATAGTTTCAAAAGGTATGGTTTGAGATTAGGTCTCACTTACTGAATTTGTCACTAAACGGTCCGGCCACTAACACTGCAGCTGCCAGCTATCCACTAACACCGCGATGGACTACTCACCACTAACACCACCTTGTCTACTTGCCACTAACACCGTCAGTGCCCCAGGGAGCTTTTGTGATTTAGCAATTGTAAATCAGACAAATTGCATAGTCACAAAAGTGATCGGGGCTCTGGCATAGCATCTAACAGCACGCTAGCGCAAGTTAGCATGACCTTCACCTTGCACCACCATCGGTTGATGTCACCTGTAGCTGCCATGGAACTAAAACCACAGTAGTGGCCCTGTGTAAGGAATGTGGATTTCACCTTTGATTCTAAATGAAACCAGCAAGCAGTTTTATAGAAAGGGACATGCTAAATATAGATTTGTTGTCCATTCCATACTGATTCAAGTTATGGTACTATTATGACAAATGCTATGTTTTATTGGCAACATGAGTTACAATTCATCGAAACTGGTAACACCTTCCCTGTTTTTCTGCTTTAATTGCTGATATCACATTTCTGAGGCGTTATTGGGAATTCATCTGCATGACAAATTAATTGCAACTAAACATGATCAAACCCTATGCTTAACACATTGCCAACCAAAGATATCAAACTCAAGAACCGTAGACTTGCGACTGAACAAAACCAAAACCCAGTACTGAAGACAACTGGAAAATACTCAAACCTTAGAAATGACACCAGTAATAGAACAACACTCAAACCTTAGAAATGACACCAGTAATGGAACAACACTCAAACCTTAGAAATGACACCAGTAATAGAGAACAACACTCAAACCTTAGAAATGATACCAGTAATAGAACAACACTCAAACCTTAGAAATGACACCAGTAATGGAACAACACTCAAACCTTAGAAATGACACCAGTAATGGAACAACACTCAAACCTTAGAAATGACACCAGTAATGGAACAACACTCAAACCTTAAAAATAACACCAGTAATGGAACAACACTCAAACCTTAAAAATGACACCAGTAATGGAGAACAACACTCAAACCTTAGAAATGACACCAGTAATGGAACAGCACTCAAACCTTAAAAATGACACCAGTAATGGAACAACACTCTAACCTCTTGACATGAGACTGAACAAGACACAAACCTTAGAAAGTAGACCATCAGCTATACAGGATAGACACCCTGGACACCCTGGACTGGAGACCTGACAAACCCTCTCTTTGTTCTGTATGTTACAGTCGGTTGTTGTTCAGTTCAAACAACTTAATGTTTTACATGACATTTAGAAGAATTCATAATTACAAAAAAAAAGAAAAGGTAAAAAATGTAATGCATTGGTGACTTTTTTGTTTTGAAATTGAAAACCTGATATCTTTTGAAGTTTTATTACGTTACTGTCAAAATTAAATCTTCCAGCTGTGAATCAACAAGTCCGGGATTACAGAAATTGAAAAAATAATGTCTTCTTTGAACTGTTTAATATCATGCCCCCTTTTAATGCTCTTCAATGGTTGTTGAAATCACGAAATATAACTAGAGATTGGAACACACAAATCTGTTATACGACTCTGAGATTGGCCATGGCCTGTGGTGAAACCTGCTCATTAGTTTCTCGGTTTTTATCGGCCACTGCTGCGGAGCATGAGCATTACAATATTTCATCCTTGGATTAAAATAGCAGCAAGATTTCCTGTGGAAATGATGCACACTGATGCCACATCATTATCAGGGACACGTAGTACGGCCAGCGGGTAACCTCGCAGGAAGCCATCTTAGGCTCACGTCGGCATCACAAGCTCCTATTTTTGATTTAACATGTTAAATTAAAAGAATCCTATTTGTAGTATTCTGGTCAAAAAAACAGTAGTTAGAAATGTTAACGTGCTAAGGACAGACAAAGAGCATCATATTCCTTAAAAAATATATACAACTTTACTGATGTAAAAAATGATTTACTGATTTATTTATTTGTAGAACAATTCTGTTGATGCAATTTTAAAATCTATATTTTTCTAAAGGTTTTTTTCTGCTTTTAGACAGTTTTGGTTTGATTATTCTTATCTTGGAAAGTTTAATCCTTACATGAAATATCTAATAAAGGAAGTATTATCATTTAGATATTTTAGTATTTTATTGATCTACCTTATATATCTTTGTACTTTCAGAGAATTTCTATTGGTTTATTCTTGTGCTGGAAAGTTAAATCCTTATAAGAAACAATTATGTTAAATTATAACAGAAGTATTAAATGAATGTATTTTGATCAAGTGTGTCATTTGTTTGTGTGATGAATGATGATTTGATTGATCACGAGTGTGACGTTGTTTGTTACAGGAAGGTGAACAAGTCTTATCGTGGGCGCTCCTGCCCTATTGTTGTACACTGCAGGTGAGTAGATTAACCAGAACAAAATAAATACATATTGAAAATATTTCAATATTAAAAACGTTTAAAGAAAAAATATCAAACTTAAACATATTTGGGTGAATTTATACTGACTATTTTCGTACAATAATGTACAAATTGCAAATTTTTGCTTGGTATTATTTTTTTTATATCAAAAATTGGTGTTTTTTTCTTTGAATTCTAAATGAGTTTATTTTATAGAATTAAATGGAAACAATAAATATTCATATAAAACTTAATATTGATTTAAGTTGTTATAAGAATTAGATAATTTTATGTGGAGAACAATATTGAATGTTAAAATTATCCTTCTTTAAATAATATATTTGAGCTCTGGATTTTAATTTTAAGTAAAAATAATCCATTTGATCAAGAATGTTTGAGGTGGGTTTTTTCATCAAGTTTCTTTGATATATAGTAGTTTAAACTTGAAAAGTAATTTTTGGGAAAATTATACATAAATATTACATTGAAAAGTTTTACGTATGGGGTTCATTAATGGTTTTTTGAATGTTATAGTTTTGAAATTGTATCGATAAAATTCTTCCCTTTCTAAAACCAAAACATTGATAACATAAGAAAACATATATTCAAAATTCATTTTATATAGATACTCATCAAAAACAATAAAACTGTGTTTATTTGAATGTTTATAAGTTTAAAAGTTTTACTTACTGTGTCTGTCAAATATGCTGAATTAGTAAAACACATTGACCAATGGGATTCTTTGTCAAAGTGATGGTTAACCGACTTAAAGTAATACAGAACTTGAACTTGTCAAAATGATGGTAAGACTATATTGTATGATAGGTAATTATTGACCAATGGGATTCTTGTTAATGCAACATGTAGAACATTGTTTGATTTACAAATGACCAATGGAATTTGATTCCTATACGTAACTGACCAATGGGATTCTTTGTTACAGTGATGGGTGTGGACGTACTGGAACCTACTGCCTATTGGACATGGTACTCAACAGGATGGCCAAGGGTACGTACAAACCACCAACACTATTGGAATGTTTAGGGTAGCAGCAAACACTATATCACTGATTCAGGGAAGTAGCAACATATAACCAGATACCAACAATATGAGAAGGATTTCGGGTAACAACTAAAAATATCAGTGATTGGTGTGTTTGAGGCAACATTTTATATAAAAGAATTCTTTTAAAAATTCAATGAAATGTCAGTGTGCTTTTGATTGCCAGTTTGAGCAGTTGGAAGATCTGAGTGTGCAGTTGTTAAACTATGTTAGAATTTTTTTATTGAAAATATTTTCATATCAGTAAAAAAATCTAGTTGGTTTGCAAAACGTAATTCGGATCTACAATTGTAAACAAACCTTATCATGGATAGCTTGCATGTTTTGCATGTACTGTCAATGACCTGAGTTTAAGTTGATGTTTGTGTTATCAACAGGCGCTAAGGAGATTGACATAGCTGCCTCATTAGAGCACATCCGCGACCAGAGGATGTGCACCGTCAAAACAAAAGTAAGCAAGCTCCTAATTAATTATCAATTTTAAAAGAAGGAATGATTTTTAAATAATTTTCATCTATAACACATACTTGCCAACTATTTTTAATAGCCATTGGGGATCGAGATTGCACATGCTCAGAATTAAAAGTGTAATTAAATGTGTGTATGTACACCCTGGGGGAAAATAACACTTTCAACTGATGACATCCTTTGAGCCTCTCAGAAAATAGAAATAGTTTAATTAGCAAAACCACTGGTTGAAAATGCTCAATTTTAGGGTCCAAAATATAGAGAGTTAACGTTGTGCATGTATGCAATTATCTATTATGATAAAGTCCAGGGGGCTGAATAATTATTACTAAAGAATTATTAAAATTAAATTTCTTGTTTTGTTTAAATCCTTAAATTTAAATGTGGCTGACAAACTTTGTTTCTCCACAGGAACAGTTCCAGTTTGCTCTAGCTGCCGTTGCAGAGGAAGTTCATGCCATCTTAAAAGCACTGCCGCAGTGAATGCATTCCAGGCTGCTGTTTAGATGGGGAAAAAATACATTTGAATTCCTGTCAATACTTTTGAGAGAAGAACAAAGTTGAATTTTATGAAAAATTCTTAACACATCTTATGTTTTTATGAAGGAACACTATTTGATCTGACATGGACTAGGAAACACTATTTGATCTGACATGGACTATGTGCAATCGTTTTCAGCGGTGTTGATAACTGATATACGTCCCTGTTGTGTTGTGATCATCATACAAAATTCAAAACAGTGCATGTTGAAACATAAAACACTATATGGTTGTACATGATGTGAATATATAAACATTGTTGTCGGTCAGATTATTTTATTTTTTGTCTTTATGATTTGTACGTAAGTCTGTAGTAATGTTTTGGTTTTTTTTGGAGATGTTACAATTAGACCTCTATTACTTTGATCATGATATTTCTCTTTTTGATAAAGCCTTCACTTTCTCAAAGTTATGATATTGACAGATTACCAAAACAACTTGTTCCTGGTAGGATTATGGAGCAAAATTTGATTTATCTTATAACATTTTTTACAGAGAATAAATCATGTTTCTCTGCAGACAGAAAAAAGAATTTGTCACAAAATATGTTTACAAAATAAAAAGAAAGGAAAGATTTTGAATTACTACAGAAGATGAATTTATTATGATATTGTCTATATTATGTAACCAAATTCTTGAATGTAATAGTTCAACAAAATTACAAGATCCTTAACTGTATTGAGGAGTTGTAATTTTTCTATTTATAATACCATATTTTTTAATTTTGTAGAAATTTGCATTTTAAGTCAAAACAAAACGCTTTCAGGATTTATACAGCATGTCAAAAAGTTGTCCTATACCAAGTTTACTTGTTATATAGTTATATATATCAATGTTTGTTATCAGTTTTAATGACAACTTCTGTTTATCGTCATTATCAATGCAATTAACTTTCATTAGAACATATTGACATCAAATTTATCTTTCTATAAAACTGTTAACAGAATCAAAACGAGCAGCTATGGCCGCTGAATTAGATTTAGATTTTTAGAGCAATTTATTGAAAAGTTATCAAAAATAGGGTTTGAGTAATTATTTTTACAGAAAAATTCTGTTATATTGCACTACCATTTCTGCAGTTCTGTTACAATTTTAACAAAGCAAGTTTACAAAATATTGCTAGAACAACTTTTTTCTCCTAGAAATATTTTGAATTGCATCAGATCAATATTTGGGAAAGAAAACGGGCAAACTTTTGATATTATAGCCATATCATATACATTTAGCATTTTTGAGGTAACAAAAGCTATTACACAGTTGTTTTTCACAAAGTGTAGAGGGTCTATGATCATTGATTGTCGTCATGGTAACAAAAACAGAATGGTTACCATGACAACAGCAGCTGTGATCATAGACACTTGCTGTGATTTGCAATATGTGCCAAACGTTCATTTGATTATGAATGGGTCCGAGTTTTAGGGGAGTGCTTTATTCTTCCTTATTGTTTGTTCATTTCTTAATAATATATTTTACTTTTTCTGATGTCACAAATTTCATATTCAGGACATGAATTAGTGAAATGAAAAGTTTAAAATTCGACTCATCGAGTCAAAGATTGAATATACAATGGTCACATCACAGTCCCACCTCAAATGTGCAATACTGGTACAAGTCAGTCACAGAAACTCAGTGTTTTTACTTGTTCTTATATTCACTTTCTAGTTGAAATGAAGCTGTATGTTTTATCTTTATCAACAAGACAGGACCTGTGTGCTGTCTAATATTTCTAGTACTGTATCACTACAGCTATTAATACACTACGCATTTGTCTCTGTTAAACTTTGAACAACATTTTACAACTTTTAGAGAAATCTTATTATAATCATTGAATCTCCTGATCTATTTCCAATAGGTCATGTTGAAGATGACAACAAACTGAGTCTCTAGTAATGTTTTTCGATAAATTTATGTCGACTTGTTATAGCCATAGATAACAATAAACTTATTGTACATGTTACAGAAGAATTACTACTCATTTTGGTGATTTACAGTCTCGTATAATTTTGTTATAAGTTTTGTTATGTTTGAATAATTCTATATATAATCTTACTGTTTGAATTGCTAATGTTGCTGTTTTGAGAACTTGTCCTATGTACTAACACAACATAATGTAATGTTCAGTCTATCTAATGAAACTATTGTCTGGAACATGTGAGGATAAAGGGAGATTTTGTTGATCAAAAGTGATGAATTTTTCAAAGACGTTTTTCCAATGATACACTGTTATGATAAGTGTACTTTGTATCATTTAACAAGACATGTATTCTGGACTCATGAAGTAGTCTTAGACTTCGGCCATGAAAGTAGACTTAGTCTTAGACTTCGGCCATGAAAGTAGTCTTAGACTTAGACTTCGGCCATGAAAGTAGTCTTAGACTGCGGCCATGAAAGTAGACTTAGACTTCGGCCATGAAAGTAGACTTAGTCTTAGGCTTCGGCCATGAAAGTAGACTTAGTCTTAGACTTCGGCCATGAAATTAGTCTTAGACTTCGGCCATGAAAGTAGACTTAGTCTTAGACTTCGGCCATGAAAGTAGACTTAGTCTTAGACTTCGGCCCTGAAAGTAGTCTTAGACTTAGACTTCGGACATGAAAGTAGTCTTAGACTTCGGCCATGACAGTAGTCTTAGACTTCGGGCATGAAAGTAGTCTTAGACTTCGGCCATGAAAGTAGACTTAGTCTTAGGCTTCGGCCATGAAAGTAGTCTTAGACTTCGTCCATGAAAGTAGTCTTAGACTTCGGCCATGAAAGAAGACTTAGACTTCGGCCATGAAAGTAGACTTAGTCTTAGACTTCGGCCATGAAATTAGTCTTAGACTTAGACTTCGGCCATGAAAGTAGACTAAGACTTAGACTTCGGCCATGAAAGTAGTCTTAGTCTTCGGCCATGAAAGTAGACTTAGACTTCGGCCATGATAGTAGTCTTAGACTTCAGCCATGAAAGTAGTCTTAGGCTTCGGCCATGAAAGTAGACTTAGTCTTAGACTTCGGCCCTGAAAGTAGTCTTAGACTTAGACTTCGGACATGAAAGTAGTCTTAGACTTCGGCCATGAAAGTAGACTTAGTCTTAGACTTCGGCCCTGAAAGTAGTCTTAGACTTAGACTTCGGACATGAAAGTAGTCTTAGACTTCGGCCATGAAATTAGTCTAAGACTTCGGCCATGAAAGTAGTCTAAGACTTAGACTGCGGACATGAAAGTAGTCTTAGACTTCGGCCATGAAAGTAGACTTAGTCTTAGGCTTCGGCCATGAAAGTAGACTTAGTCTTAGGCTTCGGCCATGAAAGTAGTCTTAGACTCCAGCCATGAAAGTAGTCTTAGACTTCAGCCATAAAAGTAGTCTTAGACTTCGGCCATGAAAGTAGTCTTAGACTTCGGCGAAATTATAAAAACATATTGAACTAACTTCCTATAGTTTAAAACCTGCTCTTTTTTTTCAAGACCAGTTGTATTTAGTAAATGGAAAATGTATTTCAGGAGAAATTCAGTGTTGTCTATCTACATCTGTTCATCACAACTCTAGTCAACCTATTAAAGAAATACTAGAAAAATGAAGAAAACCATTATTTTTTAAAAGACAAAAGGCAGTGGAAAGATCAAAAAAATACAGGAAATAATATGCTTTTTATTAAATTTTGAAATTACATTTTGCATAATAATTTGCATCTGCTGATTCAAATTTGGATTGAAAGTCTATAAAAGGTTTTATCAAAATTAATATTTCTTTTAAGCTGCATTTTTAGTACTGTCTATATATCTTATTACTCCATTCCTGTCCATTATTAGGTGTTTATGCATAGTTTGCTATATATAAAAATTGTAATATGTTGTAATGTTTTCAGCATTTGTTATTATTATATTGTATATCAAAATTTATATTTAAAATTGAAACAGAGATATATATATATATATTTTTCTCCAAAAGGTGTGTTTTGGGTCCAAATGAGTTATTTCTCTGAAACTTTCTATCTTGTCTGTTAAGTAATCAACGTGTGGTTCCCCTTCAGTCATTAAAATGTTACTGCAATCCTATATCACGTGTTCTTTATCATTTATTTACATGTTTATCTATTTATTCCCATTTCAGCATCATCATCATCTTCATCATCTTCCTGGACAGCTGATTCTAAGGGGTGTACTGCTCCAGCATTTGAATGACATCATACACTCTTTCGTATTGGAGCATTCCTTGACATACTAACAGATTTTAGATCAGAAAAACAGAATTTTGTTTCCGTCATTCGCAGAAGCGGACAAACGTTTATGGCATAATTAACATTCTGGTGGAGGATAGGAGGTTGCAAATCAAGTCACTGATGGACAGATAGACCTTCCTTAAAAATCATGTTATCTGAACATATTAAAAAAAAAAAACATTGTAAGAAAACTACACATCTAAGTTCTAGAGTTTTCAGGGGTGCATCACGTTTTTAGCCCACCATCATCTGATGGTGGGCTATTCAAATCACCCTGCGTCCCTGGTCCGTCGTCCATCGTCCGTCCTTAAACAATTCTTGTTATGTGTATTTCTCAAGAAGTACCCGAGGTATCTTTCTCAAATTTTATATGTAGGTTCCCCTTGGTCTTAGCTGTGCAGGGCAACTTTCGAGACTGATCGGATAAACAACATGGCCGACAGGCAGCCATCTTGGATTTTGATAGTAAAAGTTTGTTATCGCTATTTCTCGGGAAGTACCCTAGGGATCTTTCTCAAATTATATATGTAGGTTCCCCTTGGTCCTAAACTGTGCAGGGCAACTTTTGAGACTGATAGGATAAATAACATGGCCAACAGGCAGCCATCTTGGATTTTGATAGTGAAAGTTTGTTATCGATATTTCTCCGGAAGAACTAGAGGGATCTTTCTTAAATTTTATATGTAGGTTTCCCTTGGTCTTAGCTGTGCAGGGCAATTTTAGAGACTGATCGGATAAACAACATGGCCGACAGGCAGCCATCTTGGATTTTGATAGTAAAAGTTTGTTATCGCTATTTCTCGGGAAGTACGGGACGGATCTTTTTAAAATTTTAAATTTAGGTTCTCCTTGATCCCTCGTTGTGCATGTTATATTTTGAGACTGATCATAAAAACAAAATGGATTAAAAGAAGAACTAAACAGATCTTTCTCATATTGCAATGATTGATTCTATTTCTTTCACATTAAGTACTGTACTAGTAAATATGTGAAATGACAAACTCACTTTGAAGGTTGGCTTTCATTCACATCAGTATTAAGTTTAGATAAAAAGTTACCTCAAGGTGCATTTACTGTTAACATGACTCGATCAAACAGATTAGAGGAAAGAAGAGAAAAGATCGAACTGACAAAGAACTAATGAAGATGGTACAAAGGTGGGCGCCAAGATCCCTCTGGGATCTCTTGTTCATTATTCCCTGTACTTGACTTTGTATGTAACAGTATGTATAAAACATTTATACAATGAGAAATAAAAGGTAAATTCAAAATGAAGACATGAAGAAACTAAGCCATGACGTTGATCCTGATGGCTGATAGGATTCAAACAACTGGGAAGTTCTAAAATGAAATACCGATTCGTGTACCGTTTGGAACGTTGGATTATCAGTTGATACAGTTGTAGCAAAGAGCAGAAAATTACTTTAATCTAAGACAAAAATAAATGCACGTTAAAAGTTTATTTGCATAAATTCCTCGCGGAAAGATGACATGAACAACATAATGTATACAATATCGGAACCTTGTTCAGAAAGAGACCTAATCTTGTTTACTGTTGATGGTTCAGTAAATTATTAATTGCATAACGGTCCAACAACAGAGTTTTGTTCCCGACTATATTAGAGGGACTCAAACCTTAATACACCACACAATATTAATAGAGCAAAGGTTGAACTTGGCATAAACGACTTAACAGAGAAATGGATATTGATATTATTATAACAAGTAAGTTTTCATATCATATGTAATCAATCAATTTCACTTAAATTGTCAAATTGATGGTCCAGAACAGTGTTTTAATATCAGACGGGTTATAAGAATTGTCTTGAAACTGTCTAAAACCTACACATTCGATCATTTTGGGAACCGCAGCTAAATGCTCATTAAACGGAAGGAAAAAGTTCTCGGGGATTTTTAAAATGGTACATAGCTCTAGACATTGACTTAGTAATAAGTCTTTAAGGCTGATGTCTTCATATGAATAGTTAACTGGACTTGTAATTATATAACATGTCAATCTCTTTCGCGACCCAACTAACTGCTACGAAATGACCTAGTATTTGAAGGTCATGCGGAGTTTGATTTCTCTTTTACTGGTTGTGGAGAGGCATACCGACCTAAAACGAAGGTAGTTGTTACCATAGTAAACCACACAAATCATAGAAAAATTCCTCTATATCATATTTCAGCAGATAACGAGAAAGAAAACGAAAGCTAATTAGCGATAGATTGATAAATTAACTAAATGTGCCATTCCATTACCTGTGGGATTGTAAATGTGTCACGCACGTTATACACATGGTAACTGAATGTGTTATAATAATTATTACATGTCTAGCTTTTTTAAACAAAATTCAATGCTACTTACATGTTACTTGAACATTTTACTATTATTTTTTGGCATTCCCATAGCCACAATCATCTTGTTTTGAAGCTGGTATGCTTTTACATAGCTGGTGAAAGAGAATTTAAGCTCCACATGACCTAGGTATATAAATACATTTTAAAGAATATGTCATTTTATAGCAATCAGTGTGGGGTTGCAACAGAGATTGACAATCCGGCGAACTATATTTTATTAAAACACAAGCCTTAAAGCCATGTTATTGCCAAATTTAACGTTAATATCCACCATTGTAATAGCCAATGTACAAGTTCTTTATACTAAAAGTGCATATCTGAATTCTGATTTCTTCATTGGGGCCTTTGAGTATGACTTATCATATAGTATCTGTAAGAGGCCTTGTTGAACCTTAAGCAGCATATTCACGTCATGTATCCTAAACTAGAGTTTTATTTTTTGTTTAAACAGTTCAGACAGATCAGCACAAAACGACATATCCTAAAAATGGACCCCTGAACTGGAGTGTCATTGGTTTTTATATGGCAATATATATACGCAGTTTCCGTATTGTTTTGTTTATATACAACTCAATATTACGCAATGTATCAAGTTTTCATTGTCTAATGTGTTTCATTCAATGATTGGTGCTTTAGATTTTCCTGAACAGACTGAAAAATAATGGTTTTAGTCTAGTGTATGCTATCAAAACAGTCTAATCGATCTTTAACATACAATGTATATATATCTTTTCTCTCTACATAAACAGCCTAGAAGGAATTTGAGAGATGGGGCCCACGCCAGCTGGTCTCAACTTGCAGCCTTGTCAAGTCTTTTAACGGTTGGTAGCTAGGACAAAGAGGTAAAGGCTCTCTCCGAGAGCGGTAGATTTGTGTGATTTTAACTCAGACGAGACATACGTGTATACAAGAGCTGTGTTTTGACAGACGTTTACATCACGTTCCAGCAATGTGAGCGTGGTGATGAGCTTCAATAATACATCCCTGTGTACATTACATTTCCTCGATCGTTTATTGCGCTCAGGGAAGATTATTAACTTCATTCTACACCCATTGAATTTAGTTAAGGTTTCTCCTAATTACAGCGTTAATAGTCGATGAACTTACGAGATAAACGCATCTTAAAAATCAAACATTTTTAGAATAAGTTCAGTGGCCGAAACTCGTTCGAAAGGCATCCTCCAACTTCATATACGTCTGAGCAAATCCGCATCTCCCGAAGCTAGATGAACAGTTTACGGCGCCAAGGTTACCACAGCCCCAATCGCATAGAATAAACCTGGTCGCCAATGAATTCCCAGACTCCATATATTCCCACTCCTGGAGTCGGGTGTGTCCCGACTGACTTTGGATCTCTCTGCCGCTCTTTACTTCGGATTCTAACGGATTCTTGTAGAAACCACTC